CTCGCATCGAGTTTCGAAAAGAGACGAGAATGGCGAAAGAGAAACAGATGCTAATCGAGTATTAAATAAATAATTCTCCAGAATACCAGCTATTCGATTGACTTACAAAAACAGTAGGCATTTGTTCGATGATTTTGTTGATTTTGATTTGACAATTTTGTCGAAGTTAACAAGCACACCGGAATTGATTAAAAAATGTATATAGTTAAATTTGAGATAATTGTAGGATGTTATGGCAATATTGTTACACCTGTTCGCAGATTGCAGGCTCTAGGAAGGACAGCACCGGAATACACGATGAAATGGCGCAGTCAGTTTGTAATCGCAAACACGCACAAGAGCGAACCGTCACCCCCACCGGTACCGAATCATGTGCTTCGCTCCTCAACCGGAAACAGGTCACGGGAAGCGCGAATCCTAATTCTGTTCGCGATGCTCCTCGCCTACGCGGCCGGTTGTTGAGTGGATCGACTCGACACACCGTATCCGTACACGTTCCTGTTCACAATGAGAGACAAACTACTGCGAACGAGCCTAAGACTTTTAATAATGTACACTGCACACACACACACACACTCACACACACACACACACACACAAAATATCATACGAACGAGGTTCGTGTTTCCTCAAAAAAAAAACTTCTTTCAGCTATTCAGTTTTCTGAAAAATAAAATATAATGTGAAGTTTAAAATAGTAAAGCGTTTAAAGAGCGGAACGATGATCGCGTAAAGTGAGGCGCACTCTATGGAAATTTGATAAAGTTTCGTGTTAGTTTGCTGAAATATTACGTTCGCTAGCATTGTGGAGAACTTGCCCGTAAAAGTTTCAGAACCACCGCGCTGGTAATCACGGAGCACACTTTTGATAAAATATTGAAATCAATCACCATGAATTTACCTCGCTTTTATATCGTACGAGAATTCTATGTATTTATATCGAATAGATCGTTTGAAAATAATTACCGGTTAAACGAGGTCCTTTGGACGGTAATATTCAGCGATTAATTTGTAAAAGTTTATTATCCGGTTTGCGACTGAGTTTTTCATGTAGAACGGAAATTCGTCGTCCCGATATAAATGTCGATTAATAAAACGCGTAATGAAGATTAATTCGCAATCGCAATTTCACGCGAGGCAAGGCCATCGAATATGACTGATCGAAGGACACGAGAATTCCGAAACGATTTAGTCCAAGTTTTTCAAGTATTTTTCGATTACCGACGTTTTAACATATTGAACGTGTTCGGTGCCGTCACGTGCCGGTGGATGTTGATAAAGTTAAAATTTCATCGGATAAATTGACACAGATAAGGGAACGTTATTGGCAAAGAATGAAAGGCATGAAATCGAATTTTGGAATTTCACGCTCTAGTCGAATTATATATAAATATATATATATATATATATATATGAAAAATAAATTAAACGCGAATCAGAAAGAGAGAAAATATATATATACTAAAAATCAGTCGGTGTATACCACTCGTTTTAACTATAAGAGTCTAATAGAGCATGTACATATTATACATACATATGCGTATACATACATAAATCTATACATATAGAGGATGAGACGTTCACGAAGAAACATTTAAATGCATCCATCGTCATTAATATCGTTGAATTGTTTTCAATTTTCTCTTTAATTTTATATATACGAGGACTAAGTCAATTTAAAATTTTCATCGATTGGTCTGTGAACTATCGTAAAATCAGAAATTGTTTTTTCTATTCTTTATACGCGCAGATATATTTAACGTTTCTTTCTAGACGTCACATCCTGCGAACGCGTACGAATATAATTGTAGCGATTTAAAATAACGAGATGAAACAAGGAGGGGAAAAAAACGCGATGCACGGATTTGAAGTAGCAAGAAATCACGCGTCATCACTTTCACGCAAATGCCAAAATAAACGTGTAAGAAGAAGTTCTATATAATTATAGGTTCTTGTACATACGTGGATAGAATAGGTAGGATTTGTACAGAGTATCACGAACTACGTTAAGACCTCAGCATTATTGTAAATTACAATTTACCGTAAAACATGGCGCGAGCCCGCGAACGAAGACAGATTGTATTTTAACGAACGAGCTTCGAGTGCCCCAGGCATATTTCGAATAATTGTTAACGCGTTCGTCCGGAAGTTCATCGAAAATCTCTTCCTGCTTGCTTAAACGAAAGAGAGAAAAAAAAAGATATTCGCTGATGAAACGAGTAACAAATGGAAAAAATTTCCAAAGAATATTTTACGAAGAAGAAATTATTTTGATTTACTTTCGGAGACGCGATTGGTCGTTAGATTAAGATGGAAATAAAGGCTAGACTGTGAATGTTTAATATACGTATCGACTAAGAAGGAAAATATTAAACTAAACAGGCAAACAGGCTGATTGAATTAAAAAGAACCATCCAACGGTGCGGAAATGTTTCCACCGGTTTTCATACGTTTTACAACGCCGCCGTATCGCTACCATTATTTATACAGAATATTGTGAGTAATATTCTTTGTTTCTGAATAACGATATGCCGTGGTTTATGACTGTATGATATGCTGAATTCTGTTATTTATTTTATGTCGTCCTTTTATACTCTACGATAACACGAGCTGTATTATTTCACTGCGTAATAATACAGTTACCTTACCAGAGATTTTAATGCCTGTTAAAACTTCTGATTAAATCGTGACACGTATTAGACGGTCTCGTGTTTCACGAGATTCGTCGAATCATTACGAATCTTCCACGTTATCAATCCATCTCAATACTCTCATCGATATTTCAAACTTTCGTTCATTGCGTTCGAATAAATATAATTTGCACGATTTGTCGTTTAACATTTTTTTTTTTTCTTTAATAAATAATAGAGAAACGCGTGCGTTAAGAATTCGATATTAATTTTGAAATTGTTGAGAATTGATTTACCTTAACGAATAGAAAGACTGAATTTGATCAGAGTGCAATTTATATGTATATCATTGGAAGGCTGGTAATGATCGATACGACTGATCTATACGAAGGATGGCAGTCTAACCGCGTTGATGCATACGCATGTTAAGATTTGTATAATAAGCGAACAAGCTCGAATAGAATATTCGGCAGTCTCTCTTCCGCAACCTCGTCGAAACAGAGATGAAAGTCAGACTGTAATTAATCGGCGTACTAAAACGAGAGTATCGTTATAGAAGAAATGAGAAGAAGAGACGCACGTTTAATAAATGTAATTAATGTCGGCCAGGAAAGAGAGGCATGTGATTTAAGTGACTTGTGTTTGAAATCGGTGAATCGTTTCTCGACAGAGATTTCGTTTGTTCGTTCGTAAAGAATCGTCGCTTAACGAGAAAGCAAGAGAAACGAAATTACGCGTGTACCGTTCCTTTTTAAGATTACTCGATCACGTCCTCACAACGATTGTAATGCGATCTGTTCCTTCAATGGATGTACCGGTTTTGCACAAGGCACGTCTAACTTACGAAAAAAAGATATATGTTACATATATGTACTAGCCGCGTATACTTAAGTCACAATAAATAGTCAATTGTTTCATATAAAGTACGAATAAAATAAAACAGAGACTAAGCGTTGTTTGTGAATTTTCACCTGAATGTTTGTCATAGCGCACCAAAGTCCCGAGGGTACCGGGATATTTAATTTTTGCATTTGATCCTTACTTTAACATTATCAAATGTATGTGACATTAAAAGAAACGATAGGTGAAACGAGTTTCTTATTTTACGCAATACGAAAAAAACCAGTCGATACGTTCTCTTATAAATTTTTCGTGGTGGCAAAAGCTTGGTGTAAAGGGAATTAATCGATGGATCTCGCATTTCCTTTATATCTACAATCATCTCTAACTTCGCATAATGTCAGAGAAATCGACGGATAAAATTTACCAACCACTGACATCGAGTAGACCGCGAGAATTCTAAAATCCCTGATATTAATCCCTGAGATAACTTAGTCTCATTCTCGTTTAAAAAAATCTTATTCAACCACGCGTAAAGGTTGATTAAATCGTAGGGTTGATTTGATAAAAAAAGGACGATTTATTCACATATGAGTTTTAATACAATCTACATACATATTTATACATCCTACGGTCGAAAGATGAAACATGTACATCTACAGGTAACGCATCTGCGATTTATTTTATCCTCTCTGATGCAAGGTGAAAGTCTTAAATAACAATTCGCTAATATCCCATAAGATTGGCTCAGACAGAAACGACGTTTCGAGTTATATCGTAATTGTACTCTCAACACGTACGATTTATGGAGTGTGACAAACATTCAACAAAATATATCCATATATACAATACATCTAATTTCGCTATTTAAAAGGAAAGAAAAAGGAAATTATATATCAACATACAATATATTCATATACATATACGTATAAATGTTTATATATATAGACAGAGACGTTGGATATCGTCCGAGTTAAAATACGTTAGTGGAAAATAAACTTTCAACGAATCGAAAAACGTAACTATATATTGCACACGATCCTCGTAAGTGTCTCCGGTGCATAATATAACAATTCCTATAGATTTCCATTCAACATACTTCGGATACAACAATTATCTTAATTTATATCTTACGTTCAGACGTGAACAACGATATTTATTAACATTGATTTATAAATATTAACGAGCAATTACATGAAAATCTGTCACACGATAACCGTTCCAAACAATCACCATAACCGCGTATCTATATTTTCCGCAACTGTAATATATTTCATTGTTTATCAACATCAGGCAAATAGTAGATAAGCATCAAAATTTTACAACGATCATCCTGTCCTTTGCTTTCTAATTCTTTATGAACTCATTCATAACGAGGTAACATCTATTTGTTTAGAAATTTGTCACACGTCTTGTAAATTATATAAAATCAGTAAAATCTTCAATAACTTTTATAGCGTCCTAATGCTTAGAAAAAATATTTGTTCCATTAAAATGTCCCTACGCACGTTATTTGCAAATCTGTGCGTGTTTTTTTTTTTTTCTTCATAACGATACGAAAATTGGGAAACTCAGAAAGACTCGTCGAGAGGATCCTTCGAAATCATTCCGCACAGATCCTAAAAACAAGCGATTGAAAAGGGTTTCTATTTTACAAACTTAAACATCTATAAACACAACCAGGAAAATTAACTAATCTATAAAATCAATCAGACAGTTATTTTACATACACATTCTACGACTATAAAAGACAACACATTCTCAAGAACTCGCTTTAAACAAGTCATAAAAATATTAAAATCTCTCGATAAGAATTTTAAACATGCTCCTTTTATATATTTCGATATGATCCTTTGGCTATTTATGTGTGTATAACGATAAAAACGATCGTGTTGTTCTATTTTAAGACAATGTTCTTCCTGATTGTTTCGTTTTAAGTAACACGGACCCCAAAGAAATTACTCGCACGAGATGAAACTGATTGAAAATATATTTGAAGATATTAATGTTTGATGTAAAATGCTTCAATCTGTTTAACCAATACAACTCATCGAGTACGATAACTTTTCTCATCTAACCCTACGTTGAAATTAGGAACAAAACCGTACAAATGCTACGTGTTACTCTCATAGTATTTCCCAGTGTCTTTAAATGCTTCTTAAGAACACACAAACTTATGCATTAAATATCATGTTGGAGTATCAAATTGAGATTCATGTACGATTAAAAACGAAATTCTGAAGTACACTTATCTCAGATTTACGTTGTTACGTTGTGTAAAATCGCGGATGCAGAATTCAAAAGGCCTAGCCGCTGTTTCTGCTTTCGTTGCTCCGTCATCTGGTTAAAAACAGACAAATATATTCCACGATCGGAAATAATATCCAACTATTGGAAATAATTGTCAAACATAAATTACCTGATCGCGAAGCTCGGTAAGTTGTTGAGACAAGCATTTCACTAACTGTTGCGTGGATTCTAACTGAGATTGTAAACTTCTTAACTCTACTTGTTCCCCTTCGCCCTCGTCTGCTGCCAACGATTTGGCCCTTAATCTCGGGAACCAGTCAAGATTTCGATCCTGTAAAAAGTACACAGAGCTTAAAAGTTTAAGCATGTTTCAATTTTTTGAAGCTCTATGGACTATTACCTTCACCATCGCGTACACGTAAGACTCTGGCCCTGTGAACTCCGTAGGATCTTTCACCTTTACCAGAACAATGAAATAGAGGTAATGCCACATATTATGCTCGTGTTTCACGTGTTCTTCGAAGGAAACCGTTTTGTTATCGAAAGATGATCTGTTCAGTCCTGCGAATGAAATGTTACAAACAACAGCAATGTACGATAAATCGGTTAACAATATGTGCACGATACAATATATCATAAATGAAATGGCAATATAATTATATCAATAATCTTACCGCAAATAAAACAGGTATTCTTCAATATTAATTCCTTCTGCTGTTTTTCCGATCTGAGATCAGCAAACGTATCAATGATAACACCAAAAATAAGATTCAGAACGATAATTATGACAATGAAGAAGAACAGTAGATCGTATACGACTCTAGCAACGAACAAGGGCTCCTGCAACATTAACATGTATATTAATATAATTAACATGCATATGAATAATAGCGTTTCCCTCGGCTTTTGTTTCTATACTTACTGTACTAGATGGGGCCCGTAGAATATCTCCAATTCCTCCACCATTTCTTAAACCTTGATTCAAAGTTGTAACAATACACATAACAAGAGAATCGCATGCCCGTTCCTTTAGTTCTCCTCCAACGTTAATTACATCTGCCTGACTGTCTTCTTCGTTCACTGCACAAACATGAAGATGTTACTGTAATTTCGTACAATTATATTTCTCATAATAATATCATGCTAAAAAATATAATAATCTTATATTAATTATATCCAATATTATATTTCTATATAAACGGTATTCTATAAGAGAAGAAAAATACCATCGCGAATATATCGGGATACTGTCTCCGTTGCTTCGCATTTTTCATTATCAGCAATGTTACAAGTACCCGCCGCTGCATCCATATACGATGCTGTAATTAATAAACATACAAAATCAATATCTCTATTATTAAAAAGGCAATCATAAAGTATAATATTATAACACTCACACACAAGCTCCTCGTCGACTGTCACCAGAAAATCGTCCTTGAAAAACATAAAACCGATAATGGAGAACATATAAACTAGAATTAACGCCAATACAGCGGTAAGTATGATGGATCTTCCGTTCCTTGTAACAGATCTTATTACATTGAGCAACGTTTCTTCGCGATACACTACGTCAAAAAGCTAGAAAAAGATATGAAATTTAGTATGCGTTTGGTTTTAGTTTAAGCGCGATTTACTTTAGTGATGCAATACGTACTAAAACTGAGTAGAAAAATGGATGCATACAAATGCCGAGAACGCAAAATATAAGATACGACATATGATACAAAAGTTCAACGTTTGTCACTATTTGCTCTAGACTCTTTGTCAAAGTGCCCTGATTACCTATAATACTTATAAGATGTACAACTTTTAATACAACCTGAAACATACATCGATTACAGACAGTCACGTTATAAGAATAGATCTCATTTTAAGTACGTTGCTTTGAATTTACCGTAAGAAAACCAAGTAACCATAATGTTGGTTCTGGTCCTATGGAAAAAATCAATCGTAATATCGTTGAAGCTACTAGCGTTCGTATACCAGATTCTCGAGGTAAGGTAATGACAATAACAGCTGACGAAAGCATCACCGCCCAGATAAGGGCAGATAAGTGTGAACTCAATTCTACAGTAAGCAAGAAAATAGATATTTAAATACGTTCGCTTAGTGCAATTCTGTCAATTAAAAAAAGAAAAGTATAAGAACTTACTAGGCACAGAATCTACAAATGGATAGAAGAAAGCTACGATAAGATTTATGAGTACCGCACAGTTGAATAAAATATTACTCCAAAGTGACATGTAACTGCTCATCCAGAATAACACTGGTTGCCCTGAAAAATTATAAAAATATATGTAAATAGATTTCAACGAACAAGAGTAAATAACTACATTAACTATAGCAACGTTAAAACATCGTACCTCTAAGTTTCTTCTGCCATTTCATTTCGTTAAACATATCCTCGGTCCTTTCAAAGAAATCAGAAACCTTCGACCCTTGATCGTCGCGTTCTGTAGTATTTAATACTTTAATCTTCGTGTCCAAAGTAATGAGTTCACAAATCTCAGGAATTGGGAAGACAATTTGCTCCAGCGTTCTATCATGTCTAACGATCTAATGTAAATTACGAGTTTTTGAAAGATACGTAAGCAGTAAATTATTATGTACGTACAAATGTAACTGTTGTACCTCAATCTGGGCTGTATGACTCGCATAATATTGCAATGCCTTGTTAATTTTCGGATCTGCATTATTCTGTTCAGATGGTTTCAACATCGATGATAATTCTTTATTATGCTGTGCTAATTGATGACACAAGATATAAATATTATGCCCGACCTAAAAGAACAATTAATTACCAATAATTATATTATATCCTTGTTAACTATTATTAAAGGAGAAATAAGATTTTATTTATCTGTAAGATCGTTACCTCTTTGGGTGATACTCCTTCTTCGCCATCTATAGAAGAATCATCCATGTCGCCATCATCGTCCAAAGATTCTTGGTGGAATGCACGGCATGCGACATCAACTAATTGTTTTGGATTCATATTATACAGAATCCTTTCCGCATTCTCGCTATCTCCTCTACTTTCCATTATAGCAAGCAACAATTTGCTAGCGTTATTTTTTAACTCTAACACCAGGTCCATTCTAGTTTTTCCCAAAGGATTAATATCGTTCAATATCAAGGCTGTTATTATATCTAATCCGTTAGACTCGTGTGTTGCAATACAGTTCTGATTATCGTGACACGGTCCCTGGCAGTACTCTGTCAATGTTTCCAATGTCTGATTGATTAACGCAACATTTTGTTCATTTATATACAGCCCTAACAATCCTAATCCGCCAGTCGTTGAACCACAGATACAGTCTAAGAACATGAGCGTTTCGGATACCAGATTGAAATTCGTCTTGTTATTTTGATTACGTAAGAAATTCTATAAAAACATAGAAATATTTTCAATGTAGTAAATATTATCATTAGATTGTTGATATTTATGCAAATTCACGCGTCTACAAACGCTATGAAAAAATGGAATTTAACGCAGAGATTTGAATCTTTTTCATCTACTAAATTTTATAATGAATATTATACTTTGAAACTATATTTACAATCGTGCATAAACATCCGCAGTCGAGGCATAATATTAAAGAAAATATTTTCCATATCCCCGAAAGTCAAGAGAATTACCTGTAAGTCACGATTGTGATTTTCACACAACAATTGCAAAAAACGTAAAATTGGCTGCATTACTAAAACTTTCGCACTCAATTGCCCTTCGTCTCTCTCGTTACCAGTTGTTCCCGTACGATGCCTTTCTAATTTTTCTGCTATCATATCTTCCAACGCACTTCCCAGAGCTGCGTTGTTCGTTGGATCTTCGCCGGAAGCAAGATTACGCACATTCGCGTACGCTTGCACGGTAGAGGATGCAGCTTGATTTAATTCTTCTCGTAGCTCGTCTGTTATTACTATCCCATTGGGTTTCCCTGTACGAAGAAGCGATCAATGTTAAAAGATATAAATGAAAGTTATTGGAATATCGTTTTACTATACCTGATGTACGCTTCTTTGATATCTTTTCTATTTCTTTGCTCTGTTCCTTGTCTTCGTGGGCTTTCGCTGCTATATCAGAAGTGTTCACTGTAACCGTGGATTTTATTTCTTGCTGAGCGTCTTTCATTTTGTCGTAAAACACCTGCAGAAATTACATCCTTTATTTTAAACTATATCTCTATTTTCAAGCAAGTTAATTTATCTAACACTGAAGTAGGTAGATTATATTTTTTATTTTTATCTAATTTAGTCGTTTATCAATAATGTTTTAAAAAGAATTAGATTATCAGTAATATACCTTGAAAAAGGATTGACTCAAATCACCACCCATTAGTTTATTGAACACACTCTTCTGTATAATAGGATTTCCTCCTTCCAACAACGCGATGCCAAGTTCTATAGCTTCCACAAATATACTCGGAGAGTGGACGCTTTTAATCACCAGCTCCACTACCAAATCTGAGGCACCTTCACGATCGAGATGACTTTGAATCTCGTGCAACGTGCGTCCTGCGCGACTCAGTAGTTTAGCTATAGAAAACAAAATACTTAAAATAAGTTGTTCCTTATCTTCGTGGCGAAAAATTAGTTTTCCAAAATTTTCTTTATACCCCCTGGTCCATGTGTAATTGGAGCAGTATGCGATACTCCAATTTCCACGTTTTCCGGTTTCTGTATGAAGGACTTTCCAAAGTAACGAACCAGGAGATTGTTCCGCAGTACATCTCCCTGAGAAAAAGGAAAGGGGAAACACGTTGGTGTGATAAAACAAATTTGAATCAATTGAGATGTACCAATACATCGTGCATAATAATTAAAAAAAAAAAAAATTGAATATATTTTAAAGGGACACCGGTGCATTGTTTGTTATATATTATAAAAATATCAATAATAATATCGATTTAATACTAAAAATAATTAAATCGATGTGTATATACATTAGTTGTGCTTCAGAGTAAAAAAGATACTTGCACAGTTCTCGGTATTTTCATAAATATCCTATATAATTAACTTTACACATAGTTTGTAATGTTTAAAGAGATGCAAAAAAAAGACATTGTTGTATATTTTGGAAAATGTACAGTAGAAAAAATTTGTTTGGAACCAGATCTTTTTAGGGCAAATACATCATACATAAGGTTTATAAGTCGTACATTCAAACATGTTTAGTATATGAAACACATATATGAGGAGATATAGCAAAGAGAATTAAATGCTTTACATACAGTATATGTAGATGTACTATATGTATATATGTATATACTCTTGGAATTTCTAGCATTATTATTAATTATTCGATAATTCTATATTTAAAATACAATCTGATTTCTACGTTCTACGTTGCTGCACTCATGCTATCAATTATATGTATGGCTTACGTTAAAAATAGTAAAAAGATCTATGGACGTATTGGTACACCCTATTTGTAGTAAAAGTGTATGTACATATACTGTACTTTCTTATTTCTAAACTCTATGCCCATACTGGATCGTACTTGGAAAGATATTTTACACTACGTAATAATAATACTCTGGAGACTTTCTAGAAATTTTGATTCACGATAAGTTGAAATCATTCAACTTATTTAAAACATCTATCTGCTTATCAATCCAATTACTTATGTTCAAGTAAATCGACATAGTCACAATGTACAATACCTCCTATCGTAAATCATAATTATTTGTCATACACGAGATCACATACCTACGCTATGATGATTATATTTTATGTATGAACAGAAGAAATAAATTAATACTAGAGTAGAAAATGGAATAGAAAATGAATCAAAGTGTATAATGTAGTAAAATTAATCAAGCACATGCACATAAGGTTACCTACACAACGTACATCGTATTTTGTACTTAAGCAAATTGAATTATGTATCACGTAGCTTGTTAGCAAGCAGCTACTAAATATCATATAAATAGTTGTGGTCTTAATATTAAAGATACATCAGCAGATTAGATTTCTTGTTTATCAGCGGGATGCCCTATGCGTGTATATACGTATATGATAATTTATAAGAAAGGCAAAAAAAAAAAAAAAAAAAAAAAACAAAAAGAAAAAGA